AAAATAAATATAAAATTTATTTAAATATAAATAATTATTTTATTAAAAAGTGAGATTTAATTAAAAAAAGTAATTTGCAAACAAAATATTATCATTTTGTACTAATATATATAGAATTCAAAAAACATTGAGCACTCCTTGAAAGTGCTTTCACCCATCCAGCATAACTTTTTTAATAGTTATCATTTATCAAAAAATACTAAGAAAATTAAGAAGTTTACAATAAAAAATTAAAAAGTTATTTTTGATCATATTTTTAGATATGCTAATAAATGTATTGATATACTCACTTATCAAGTTTTTTAAGACAAGTCAAATTTTATTATTTTTAATGAACTGCATGTAGAATACAGAATCATTTTAGATTCTAATATGACCTAATTTTTATAACTTTTGTATGATTTTTTCATGGTCTTGTAATTAAAAAAAAAATAAACACTGAGCATACAAGATGAGGTCATCATTTTGTACGAACTGGCACGTTTTGAAGAGCAGGAATTTTTCATTCTCTCTATTTCCAAGCAACATAGAAAATTGAAAAAATTGTATTAGATTATAATAATTTTGATATCTTGGACACGTATGTTCCCCCAATATTATGTATCCATGAGCGCCAAATAAAATAAGATATACTTTCCAGTATTTGAAAGTTGAGGATTGACAACTTCATATATTTCATATTGTAAATGAATAATATAGAGTTAATACATTTTTTAAATATCTTGCACACGTGTTCAGTTTCCAGTTATCGATTATCGCTTCCGCAAGCGTATGTGATTCTTCTAGTTGAAAATCACATCCGTGGTCTCTCATCAGACTAGTTTCCGTTTTGGCTGAGAACCTCTTCTATATATCCGTGGCTACCCCTCTCTGTCCATCTCTAGAGCCCTTACAAGTTATATTCGTGCATAGTTGGATATCAAGACTCTTATTTTTGGCTGCATTGACTAGATCCTCTACCTCTTGGGCACAATTTGACTTTATATGGCCTAATAGAATTGCATTTGTACAGCAAATGCAAATGTGCGAAATATACTGAATAAAACAACAAAAAATCTCATCACACTAAATGAGGTCTGCAACTGCATGGATTACACGATATCATTGTTTTATATTAACAATCAAGTCTCTTGGTATATTTAGGGACTGATTTCTTTTAAAATGTTTTATTTTTTGTTTGTAAAAAATGTTCAAATTAATTTTGGCTGCCCAACTTTTATGTAGGATTTCATTTTGGCCCCACCTGAATAAGTTTCTAGATTAGTCCTTGGATATATTGTTAACTAACAAGTTTTGTTCAATAATTTTTTTGAATGTTTTTTTTTTCCGTTTTCGCCTGTTGCTTTTTACATGACTCAAAACTATCTATTTTTACTCTTCTTATTGGTGCCTCCCACGGCCTCCTCTACATATGTCCAAACCATTTAAAATAATTTTTCTCTATCTTCTTTTTAATAGATGCCAGACTCGCTTCTTCTCATGTATGCTTATTATAAATTTTATCTTTTTTGTATATTTCCACACATCCATCTCAGAATCCTAATCTATAATACTCTAATTTTATACTCTCGTCTCTTTTGAGTCTAACATTTACTGCTATATAATATGGTCTACCTTACAACAATTGGATAAAACTAAAAATTTGGCAATGATTTAGGGGATTTAAAATAAAAGTTAGACATTTTATATAGTAAAATTTGGGCTTATCAATCCACAACGAATAAATTATTTTTGTCAGAATAATTGAGCTTATTTTTTAAACATAAAGCTCATTTTCAGAAAATTATTTTGCTAGCAAAAAATATGAATTATTTTTGCAAAAAAAAAATTAAACAATTATCAAGCAAGTGACATATTTCTATCTCAAACTATGTGAACTTGGATTCCTTTTATGTGAACTAGGGTCAAGTCTACCCATGTAAATATATAATATTTTTCCTCTTAAAATTTCTTTTCTTATGTTCTTGACGAAAGGTTTCCCAATATTTTCTCATAAAATTTAAGAGGTGAATGAACTATAATTGGTTTTCATTTAAACAGCCTATTTATCTCTTTTTCCTATTTCTTGCGTCATTCGCATCACACACGCACACAAAACCTTATAAAACTTATATTTTGATATAAGCATGGGAAAAACTTCAGTTGTGTCCTTGGTATAATAGTAAAACAAAATTATATCGTCTTACCGAAAAAAAAAAATTGTCTTGAATGTTATATTAACGGGATTAGGCATGGGTCTAGTAGGATCGAACTTGGAAAAAATTTTTCTGTGTTTTTCCTTGGAAAACTTTCTCTATGTGTTTTTTCTTATATTTTATTTTCTATATCCACATGTTGATAGCTCAAAATTTCAATTAGTTGGTGTCACGAGCACAAATCCAAATATAAAGCCCATCCTAAAATACCAGTGTGTGGGTGGGAGAGCTCATCAAACTTAACTCATTACAATGCCACCCCATTGAGAGCTGATGTCCCCAGTGGCTCTACTACACAGTCCTAGGCCTTTTGCTAGTTAGAACCCTCCATGTATAGCCTTTTTTGAGACATTAAACTCTTAATGAAAGTACCAATGTTATGAGCAAGTCCAAAAGGAGAGTCCATTTCAAGAGATTAATTGTCATGAGTCTTACATTGGGGAACCTCACAAGTGAAGTAGAGTTTATATGTGTGAGGATCTCTCTCACTCAATAGGCTAGTTTTTTGAAATATGCTCTCTTTTTGAACTTGTATTTATGACATTGGTGCTTTCATTAAGAGTTTGGAGTTACGAAAAGGATTGCCCATAGAGAGTTCTGATGATTGACAAGAGGTCGAGTAAAGTGCCATGGAGTGGAGAAATTGAACAAGGGAACACACACATTGGAGATGGTCTTGAGAGTAATGAGAAAGAATGAAAAAAAAAGACCGATGTCACCCCTGCCCCATATACATGTATATGTGCATGTACTACTTCTATTTCAAGAGTTTCCCTTGAAGATTGGGCAATCTCTTTCCTCTCCCTTACACTTTGCACCTGCTATGAGTGGCTGTTGGCCCCTTTTGAGAAAAATGTGCAGTTGGTGAATGGCATTGAATAGACTTTATACTAGGAACATTGACTCTCGAACAGGGTGATGTTGTCATGAGTCTTACATTGGGAAGCCTCATAAGTGGAGTTAACTTTATAAGTGTAAGAGGCTCTTCTACTTAATACATTAATCTTTTAGGATAGGCTCTTCTTTTGGGTTTCTATTCATGATAGTTGATTGCATTAACTGTAAGCCATTGTGTCAATGTTCGACTATCATGTTGGTGTCAAGAGATAATGATCCTCCACATGAGCTGTTTGTTAACTTTTTGTTATTGTTTTTTTATTTTTATTTTTGCATGTTCCTTCAGTATGTATTTCATATAATAACAAAATTTATTTTAAGTCTCATATTTTAATATGTAAGGTATTTTACAAAATTTTAAAAGCAATTAATACCATTTAACCTAAAATACAATTAGGAGTTTACCAAAATTTCTTGCTTAGAAAAAAGTAATGAGTAGACACAAATAGTTAATTGTTGGATGTGCATTGCGTTTAAAAATGCTTTATAAATGAAGTATTGAAGAATGGATATTGTAAAAGTAACAGTCAAACCTAACAGTCCAAAAAATGACATCAATTTCATTCATTTTTCCACGTAAGTGCGCATTCATGCATGGTATTCAAAACAGTTAGAATTTCGAAAGTTAAAGTCAGAAAACGAATATATCAAATTTTAAGGTTCTAGAAATTAAAAAACACTGAGCAAGGAATGCAGGACGAGGTCATCATTAATTTCGACATATTCAGAACATGCAAAACCATGTCTCCTTGACACAGATCGTGAAATGTTCCCCTTTTCATCATTATTTTCCAGCATAAAAACTTTTCTTCCCCAAGCAAAGGATATACAAATATATTTTGATATCCTGGATACATGTAGGTTCCACAATATTATATATCCACGGGGAATTGAATAAAATAGTTTTTTCAGTATTACACAGTGAAGTTTGACGGCTTCATATTTCATCCAGAATATACAATAGGCTTTGCAAGCGTAATTTGCAATGTAAACTTACCGAATAAAAAAGTGTAATTTACATTACCAATGGGGTTGGGACCCATAGATGAACTAAGATTTGAGTTCTTGTTGTTGAAAGAAGTATTCATAGTTAGTATTCGACCATATATCAAATAAAATTATCTTTAATAAAAGGATATTTGTGAGCAGCAGAAAAAGAGGGTTTATTTACATTTTTATTATTTCTTGCAAAAGTACTCGCCTAATCCTTTTTATCAGGCAAAGATATAATTTTTTTATCCTATTTATAAGTCATATAGATCATTAAATTGTTAAAACAAATTTCTCATTTACCTTCCATTAGATATTGGTGAGGCAAAGTGTGTTATTAAAATATTTATATTTGATAAGGGCAAAGTTAAGAACTAATTAAATTTCTAGATATAGTTAATGATTTTTAAGATTTTCTTTGATTTCATTAAAAAAAATATTAACAGCTACTTATAAATAGAACTAGAGGAGTATTTTCTGCCATCCGCACAAGTTTTTCTGGTCAGAATAGTTGAGCCTTTAAAATATGAAAAAGTAAACGATGCTCATTAAATTGATTGATAACAACCATTCATATCCAAAGCGAAATCACCCGGCTGCCACAAACCTAAGAACCTAACAGTCTAATTGCCTATTAACTTCTCACATACAACGTAATAAAGTTTAAAAACTAATATTCTATCTAATACGTGCCAATTACATGCATTTTCTTACGACGGTGTGCGGATGTGGTAGGATGAAACAACTGTAAACAAGACTGAATCAGCAGCCAAATACATTTAAAAGTAAAATCTCAACAAATTCAAAAACAGTGAGCATGAAGGAGCCCGACGAGGTCATCATCATATCCAAGTATAAATAAGTATGCAATCCTACCCTCATTATAAATCAAACTCATTGCAATTCGTAAGGCAGTTCGTTTCAAAACAAAATCAAAGAGAAAGAAGAAGAGGATGGGAAGCTGTTTGAGCAAAGCCATGCATTCTAATACTACGGAGGCTGATAATCTTGAGGAAGAGACCAAGAAGATGACAACGCCTGTAAGCATTGCAACAAACTGGAGAGAACTTAGTGGTGAAAATTATTGGAAGGATTTGCTAGACCCACTTGACATTAATCTTCGTAGGTACATTATACACTACGGAGAAATGGTTCAAGCCATTTATGATGCTTTTAACGATGATAAACCATCCAAGTATGTCGGAAGGAGCCGTTATGGGAAAAGACATTTCTTTTCCAAAGTGGGTTTGGACAAAGGAAATCCTTTTAAGTACGAGGTGACAAAGTTCCTATATGCAACTTCAGAAATTGATTTTCTTATATTAGACGATGTCGAAGAAACAAACTGGATTGGATACGTTGCTGTGGCCACTGACGAAGGCAAAGCCATGCTAGGTAGGAGAGACATTGTAATTGCTTGGAGAGGAACTTTGCAGATGGCAGAATGGGTTAAAGATTTTCAATTCCTATTGCATGATGCTCCAATTATTTTTGGGTCGGAATCTGATTGTAAAGTACACAGAGGCTTCTACTCCATTTACACAGCCACCAACTCATCACATTCAGCCTTCATTAATGCCAGTGCAAGAACCCAGGTAATGTGATTTATCTTTTAATAATTATTCAAATTTTGCATACCAATAAAAAATTTATTATTTAATTGAAATCACATAAAATCACAATAATTTTTCAGTTTTGCCCAAAATAATGTCACAATTAATATCATGGTGGTAGTGGATAAAACACATAATTAATATCTCCATTTTTTTAAGACAAAGGCAAAATTGTCTAATTACCCGTAAGTATCATGACACTCCTTATATTCGGGGAAAAAATAAGATTTTAAAATATATCTTATACTCCCTCCGTCCTTATATATAAGAGGTCTTGTAGAATATTATTTTGTTCCTAAATATATGAGATTGTTAGCACATTTTTTCAATAAATAGATCATTATACCCTTATTAAATTAGAAAAAAAAAAAGATAAGTACTCTCATTAATTTACTTAAAAAAAGATATTTATTTTTATTTACAATAATTAGGGGCAAAATTTAAAAGTTGTTGTACTTTTAATTAGATAACTAACTTTTTTTTTGTTTGCGTAATTTAGTTAAAATATCTTATATATAGGGATGGAAGGAGTATATAAGAATAAGTGGAGTACATATTATTTAAAGCTTGCAGTAGCATTTGTGTAACTTCTGGACTCTCAATCATTATGCAGGTTTTAGCTGAAATTAGAAGGCTTGTGGATAAATTTAAGGATGAACAAATCAGCATAACAGTGACCGGCCACAGCTTAGGTGCAGCAATTGCAACATTAAATGCAGTTGACATAGTCGCTAATGGCTTTAACATTCGAAAAGACGAATCTCATAAAGCTTGTCCTGTCACAGCATTTGTATTTGCAAGCCCTAGAGTTGGAGATCCAGACTTTCAAAAGTTCTCCTCTAGTCAAAAGGATCTTCGAATGTTACGTATTGCTAATGAAAAAGATATTATTCCAAGGCATCCTTTCTTGGGTTATGCAGACGTTGGAGAAGAGTTAGAGATTGACACTCAAAAATCAGACTTCTTAAAGCAACCAGGGGATGTGAAGAGTTGGCATAATTTGGAGGTTTACTTGCATGGAGTTGCAGGAACACAAGGAAGCAAAGGAGGATTCAACTTAGAAGTTAAAAGGGATGTTGCACTTGTGAATAAGAGCCTGGATGCTTTGAAGGACGAGTATCAGATTCCTGAGGCTTGGAGGGTGGTTGAAAACAAAGGATTGATTCAACAATCAGATGGTACTTGGTTCATGCCAGATCCAGAATTTGAAGATGATGTTTGACTCTTCTACTTTCTTCTAGTTGTGCTATTACTTTGATTCTTTTTATCATTTAAAATGTTTGTGTGAAAATAAGACTTAACAATTCATGACAAATATTTGTAATTCATTATTGTCACGCTTGTACGAATTTCAATGTTTATGTATATATGTATGTATGTATTTACGTATATCAAACTTTTGTGCTATATATCGTATATTTATGAATTCTTGCAAAGATACAACAAAAAATAAAAAGCTGAAGCAAAGTCTAAAGTAAAGCATTAGATAATTAGATAGCAATGGAAGAGGATCCTATGTGATCAAATATAAAGTAGTTCTAAAGAAGTTGTAATGCAATTGAAAACTGCGTAGCTTGTCCATGACAATAATTTCTTGCCAGAATTATTATCTCTCGCCAATCCGGTTAGCACAATCTTGGAGTAACCTCTACGCGGAATGTGACCTCATCTATTGTTCTTTCACCGAATGCTGACTACTCTGATTCAGATTTAACATTTTGATTACTTTTTGTTTTTCTATTTTTCCTATCTGGTTGTATTCTCTTGGTATACTATGTGTACCTTGAATTTGAAACTCAATAGAACCTCAGTTTTTGTTCAATTCATTGACATTGTTTTTTCTTTTTCAGTGCAATATTGGTGCATATGTTGAGGGGGGGGGCATTCGCTCTAATCTAATAAATTGTAGGTGAAGAATGTTAGACCATATGTTTTGATGATAATAAAATTAGATAAATTTGTTTTGGAGAACAAAGGTATTCAACAGTAAAATGCTTCTGGCAAAGAGTTTCAAGGAAGTGAGAGGCAATGGTGTTTAAGTAATCTGTTGTAACTAGCTAGATTATAGTTTTTCAATGAAACAATGTTTTCCGAACGGTGTTTAGTACTGTTTCAAATGAGTTTAAGTCAATCTCCCATTCATGGTCATCTCAATTTCCTTCTTTACATGATCACTCGGTAAGACTCAAGTGCTTTCATCTTAAGGAGTTAAACATTCTTTGAAACATCTTCTGGAGTTAAATATATGATATTAGGTAGTTTTTATAATTATTTTTCTAATTATTCCTCTACTGTAATAGCCCAGAAAAAAATATAATACTACTAATAATAATAAGTATATATATATATATATATAAGTTGGTGTTTTAATAATAGTTATATTAATTTTGGGAACATATATAGCGAGAACGAGACTTGGTTTAGTGGTTACTATGTAATCATTTATGTATAAGGTTCCAGTTTCGAATATGCTAAGCACTAATGGAGGGGGTTTGTTTTTGTTATTTTAGCCTTGTGAAATTACCATTTGTTTTTGTTATTTTAGCCTTATGAAATTAACATTCTACCCTCTCCCTCATTAGATTAAAGTTATCCCTTCTCTTCCTTATTCAGTCAGTGCACTGAGAGAGAGAGAATTCGAGAGTGCTCTCCAATCTTCTATCATCACCAACCATCTCTTCCTTCTTCGTTCCTCGCTGTCACCGGCGTCAGAGGAAGCTTGCCACTGCTCAACGTGATTCAGGTGCACTCTTCATGCTTTCCAACTTTGTTTTTTCCTTGCTTCTTTCTCAATCTATTGCTTCCTTGTGTTACTCACGTTCGAGGTATGGCTGGAATAAAGGATCAAGTCGTTGGAGCTGGAAGGTTTTACTCATGAGATATTCCTTCCTCAATTTAGCCGTCAGCCTCGTTATTCCTTTCCTTTTGTGCTCCCTATTTTTGCATCTTTTCAGTGTGTTGTTTCGTCCGTGTTATTTTGGCCGAGAAATGACAAAGCATCGAAACTAGGGAGTTGTTGCTGCAAAATCGTGTGGGTGCTGTTGAATTAGTCTTCTTCCATTTGTTGTGCATGATAACAGTGCCAACCTATCTCTCCCCTGTTCAGCCATAAAATTGTGGGCACCAGCGAGTAAAATTATAGTCTGAGTCATGTCCAAGGATATTGTCCTTAAGAGCTATTCTGCCACACCGTATTGATCATGCAGTAGCTTACTAAAATTAAACAGACTCTTCCAATTAAAAGTAGGGACACAGAACAATAGAAACTCACAAAATATACTTAGGTAACTGCACAATAAACTAATATGATAGAAGAAAAGAGGAAGGCTGAGAGTACCAAGTCTCTCTCTAAACTTGTGGCAAGCATTGTTTTTTATAGGCAAATCTCATAATGCTGAGCAATAAAACCACCTTAATCACAATTAAAAAAACGGTTTCAAATAATAATATTGTTTAAATTATATGTTATAAAATAGTAAATAGACTTAAATAATAATTAATATTATTAATTTATAATAATTCCTTTTGAAATACTCAAAAATATTTATAATATCTAACAATCCCCTACATATTTCAGAAGGAAGAAAAATTTATGAAAACTATCTTATACAAATAATTTGTATCTCCAAAAAATAGTTTTCAAAATTTTGGAAAATTGCCTAGAATTACATCTAACTTGTGTGCAATTGTATGCAAGAGCCCATTTCTCTTTTAAGCCCATTTATTAGCTCAAGTTCACATCTTAGTATCTATAAACTACGGCCTTCATTCATTTGAGTAACATGAAACTTTCCTTTTTGACACAATTGTAACAATCCCCTACATGTGTCAAAAGGACCACTATCATCTGAGTTATTCTCACGGAAGATAATCACTTTGAATTTGGTGTCTTTCAACTTGAACGAAACCTAGATCAATTAAACTTAACACACAAAAAAGTCGGTGTAACTTTATTATTGAACCAACAGATCTTGGTTGTGTGCTAGATGTCTTATTAGTCAGATATACCCCCACAATTTCCATTGTTATCACGGTTTTGCATGTTATCGACCATGTACGTGCTTGGTTTTAACAAATACTCTAGAGATTTTGCCACAATCTCATAGGAGCGGCCCCGCTCCACATTCGTATAGGTGTTTTCATCAAATGTATCTACAATGAATACATCATCCATAAGGAATATGAAAAACATTAAGAGCTTTTGCTCAACCTCCAATCAATGCATTCTAGCAGTTTCTCAAGTTATAGGAAGGGATGAAAATTTTAGTGCTAGCAGAACTAACAAGTGACTTGTTCTTACTCGTTGAACCTTTTTCATAGGACCTCTAATTACAATGGTTGGGTTGCCATCACCGTTAATTTCAAATAGGTTTAAGTCCCATTCTCCTCGACATTTAAATAATTAAAATTCTTCCTTATGGGCCAGTTAACAGATCTGTCAGATTTATATCTGATCTCACATAATTGATTGAGATAACTCCCTCTTTTAGCATGCTTAATTGTATCTCAAATGATATTTATATATGCCATTGTTCTCTTTACAATGACTATTACCATTTGGCAATCACAAATCATCGACATATAATATATCGATTTTACTCACATGAGAATATTTATTGAGAAGTCTCTCAACTACTCAGCCTCTTTATTAGCCAACTTCAAAATCACAAATTATGGCTCACATGATATTTTATTTGGCTACCAATAATTTTTTCCTCATCTGAATATAAAATTCAATTAATGTCATTGTATTGTTCTAATACGATGGAAATCCATCATTCATGGCACCCATATTTATGATACCCATCAAATACTCAGTCATCTCATCCTCTTATAAGATTACTTGAAATGCTCAATTTTCACACAATATATGTCATGAGATTAATATTTATTAATGCAACAAACTCTCAAAAATTTGTGCATACACAAATTGAGCAAAAAAAATTTATCAATTTTTTAAATAACATATTATCATAATAAAAATTCATCAATACTAAGTGTTGGTTTTACACTACAAAATAATTGCTAAGAAGATCTCTAATAACTTAGCCTCCAATCCAACTTTAAATTAATGAGCTTGGACTCCACTATATTCCTATCATTATATCACTACCGAGAGTGAATAGTCACTAGTGGATTTTCTCACATAAATTTATAATTCAATTAACATCCACGTATTTTATACAGTGAGAATTCATAATTCATAATTTCATTTATTTAACATGGAACCAAAACACTCATAAAGAAATCATTATCCACATTAATAAATATTCACGCCAAGATAATTAGATAAGTCATGCACCTATTTTAAGATACATTTATCTACTGCACTAGATAAATGATTAACTTTTGTGACACCATTACAATGCTTGTTGCAAGCCACACAAAATGATAAATCACAATTTTTGCATTTATGCAAATAATAAAGCCTCCATATAATATTTTCTCTAAATCACAACATAGAACCATCTTGGCATCTATAAAATAAGGTTAATAATATGATATAACATATAATTAATTTTCGAGAGTAAAGCAAAATATTTTTGCTAGGCACCCCCACACTTTCAAATATTTGAAATATATGAAAAGTATTTCCTTACCGTATCAATTAAATTAAAATCTCATCATGTCATTACATTTTTCTTATCATCATATTTGCTATATTCCAAGTATATTACACAGTATGCAATCAATCGTGCATTATGTTCCAAATCCTTTTTGCATTTCACAACCGGATAGGACAACAATATTATCAACACAATTAATCACACTTCATGTGATTGAATTTGTAACTCACAAATTAAAAAACAATTGTGAGTAGATAAATTAATACAAAGAAAACCAATACTTCAATGTCAACATAAGTGATAGTTAAACTTCTTTAAGAAACCAACGGTAACATTCTTTTTTCCCGTAGTCTCCAACATTATGTTCCATTCTTAACAATATTTATAAAACTGAATGCTCATTATATTTTATCATAAACAATCCATATATATGGTAATTGAATACCTTTCTTATGTCTATTACAATTATGATTTACAATGAATGCAATCTAGTTATAAATGTACCATATATATTATAAACGTACTCGAGGCCTTTTTTGACGAATCAATATATGGCCATTATTGAACCTAGATACCCCATTGAAAATAATGAAAATTAAATATAAAGAGAAGATAACGTCCCCAACTTTGTTTTTCAAGAGAGGAACTCTTCCATATTTGGACTGCTACGTCCTTGACTTAGCCAGCAAAACAACAATTGCTATAATAATAATAATACTAATACTAGACTA